TTATATTGTATTTTATAATTTTATATTGTACTGTTTTATTATATATTAAATTATATTCTGTATAAAATAAATTAAGAAGTATAATTAAGAAGTAAATGCAAAGAATATCGAATATAATTGGTGGGGATGATAGAAGGTCTTGTAATTTAATCTATTTTAGCCCGAATTCAATTTTATTTGAACTTCTTTTACATTTATTTTTACAGATATGATTTTGGAAACAATGTTTATTATAATTTATCATTATTCGATTTTCGTATGTAATATACTTGAACACACGTTGACACTGGAATAAAACTATTTTTTCGAATGTCTTTTACTTTTTGTGTATGTTACATATATAGAGATATCTATAATCGCTATATAATATTTTTTTTTATATTCATTAATGTATTTCTTTTTAATATATTCGTGTTTCAATATATCCCTCTTCGATATATTACTTATAGTTATATTTTTAATAATAGTTGACAGGATTATTAATTTTTTATAACTCGTAAAAATAAAAAATGAAAATTATTAATGACTTAATAAATTAATAAAACAAAAAAGAACTATAACATTGTCAACTTTAATACTTTACTTTTTTCGTTCTCTATAGAATAAATTCCTTTTTATGGATTCCTAGCGTGACAACTGTATCATATTTGGCATAATCTCTATTATTGTGCATGATGTATATCATGAATTGTTTATCTGAATTAAGAAAAATATGTCTTCAATCTATACTGTACCTAAAATGATCACGAAATGAATAACTGATTGATATTACGGACTGCTAAAATTGTGCGATAATGGACTATGATAGTTATCTCCTTTAAGCGTGAGGATTGCGGAATTTCTCTCCAGCGTATTTCGCGGCTGCTCCAAGCTCTTCCTCGATACGCAAAATCTGATTGTACTTGGCCAAACGTTCCGAACGGCAGGGTGCGCCCGTCTTAATTTGGCCAGTCGAAAGACCAACGACCAAGTCAGCAATAAATGTATCCTCCGTTTCTCCAGAACGATGAGAGACCATAGTACCCCAACCGTTTCTCTTGGCAAGATTATGAGCGTTGATGGATTCAGTCACGCTACCGATTTGATTGACTTTTAACAATAAACAGTTGCAAGCTTTCTTCTCAATAGCCGTCTTAATTCTGTAAAGTAATATAGCATAATATATAATAAAGTTTAATTTAAAATGGCAATAGCAGATAAAGCTTTTATTTTATATGTTACCTCTCGGGATTTGTGACAGTAAGATCGTCACCGACAATTTGAATGGGAGTAGCCGCGGTCAAAGATGTCCAAGAATCCCAGCCATCCTGATCAAAGGGATCCTCAATCGATACGATCGGGAATTCTTTGACAAATTCCAAATACAAATTCTTCAGCGCTTCTGGTTCCAGATATGTGCTTGGATCAGAGTTTTCATTCTTGAAATCCAAGTCATATTTTCCATTTTTGTGGAATTCGGAAGCAGCAACATCCATGCCAATTTTGATCTTTCCTTCATAACCAGCGGTCTATATATTGGGAACAAAATTATTGCAATTATCGATTATTAGAAAATAATAACAAATGCATTTGAGTTATAAATCTCTCAGTTTACCTTAATAGCACTTATGATCAAATTAAGAGCTTCCTTGTTTTCCAAAATGTTTGGTGCAAAACCACCCTCATCACCGACCGCCGTGGCATCGAGGCCGAACTTCTTCTTGATTCCTGCCTTCAAATGGTGGTAGACTTCACTGCCCATTTTCATAGCTTCTGTAAAGTTGGATGCGCCAGTAGGCAAAATCATAAACTCTTGCATAGCTAACTTGTTTCCGGCATGAGAACCTCCGTTAATAACATTGAATGCTGGTACTGGCAAGATTATGTCATTATTACCAGCCAACTCAGCAATGTGTCTGTAAGATGAATATGTATATTTAGATGTTTTTTATCTTTACAAGAAAAATAAGTAAAAAAATAATTTGACTTTGAGAAAGTTTTATGTTCTCGAAACATAAAAGTACAGATTTTTTTTAAGTATATTAAACTTTTTAAAATATTACATAAAAATATTTATTACTAAAGATAATTACTTATAATTACTTTAAAATTAGCGTTTCGAAAAAAATTAAATCTTTTTAGAGAGAAGAAAAAATAAAAATTACAAAAAAAAAGTTATATACGTTATTTTAATTTCTTTATATTTTATGTAAAATAATTTTCTCTTTATATAAGAATGATTGATTTATACGAGCTATATTTACTTATACAAAGGTAAGCCCTTTTTCTGAGCGCCAGCCTTGCAAACTGCTAAAGAGACACCCAAAATTGCATTCGCTCCAAGTTTGGACTTATTTGGTGTGCCATCCAGCTTCAGCATGAAATTATCGATATCTGTTTGCTGTGTAACTTCTAAGTTGGCCTTGAAAATAATATCACATTTGTCAAATGTTTTCATGTTTTCAATGTCAAATATTATGTAAATATTCGATATTTGTATATTGTGTAGAAATACCTTCAATAATTCAGGAGCAATGATAGAATTTACGTTTTCTATAGCTTTAAAAACAGACTTTCCATGATATTTTGATTTATCATTATCTCTCAATTCCAAAGCTTCGTGGACACCAGTAGAGGCACCAGATGGTACCGCTGCTCGGAAAAGTCCAAGCTCAGTGACAAGATCGACCTAAAAAAGCAAATAATATTAGTAAAAAAATATTCAATAAGACATTACATTTTCAAGATTCAATAAATTACCTCTACTGTGGGATTTCCACGGGAATCGTAGATTTGACGGGCTTTGATGCTTTTAATAGGCATTTTGACACAATTGCTTGCTGATGTAAAGAACCTTGTTGAGATTAAAGAACTACAATATAAAACAACGCAAAAAAATTATAAAACGTGTCGGCTCTTTATCGTTTATAAAAATCCATGTCTATTTCTCACATTAGAATTTTTTGTGTTACAAAATTATTGTAACATTATACTATGCTATTATCCAAAGTGTTTTATTAAAGATATAATCTTTTTAATTTACAATTATCTGAATTTTTGAATAATTGGATCGTAACACAATCAATATTTGATGTTACTAACAAATTGTAACAATTTATGATAAAAAGATATAATAAATTCAAGCGAAATAAAATAAGAATTACAATTTTTAAATAAAGAAAAACTATCAATCAAGAATATTGCAGCGAAGTGTAAGATACAGGAATTGATATTAAGTTATAATATAATTTAGAAAATAATTATATAAATTGTGAATCTTGCGGAAATCTAAAAATTAATGTTGAATTATTGACAGTATAAACGCTAAATATCGATAAATCACGGATATTTGTCAAGTCGCATATCGACCTTGTCAAGGTCATTCTTTATCTGTTCAATATCAAAGAAAATCGATGTACAACACAAGATATATCTGATTTATATTAAAAATAATTATACGTCAAAAAATCACGATATTAGCGAAATCACGATTGTTAATGACCTTATGCTAATGAAGTTCCGATACGAGACGATAAAACCGGCATGTAACACCATTTCCTGAAAGTGTTCAATCGTGCAAGGAAAGACAAATAAATTTCACGAAAATGCGATTTCAAGCTACAAAATAAATTACAGGTTTTCTGACACGCTAGACGTTGCTCTGAATATGCTCACCTAACGTGACGTGTGACAGTTCGCACGAAACGTTTGACGAGGAATGAAGCTTGACCTAACCGACGACCTCCTCAATTGGCTCAGTTGTGATGCAAGCAGAGAGATATCGATTGCAAGATGTACGCGAGATGTTAGGTTAATGCAAGCAGAAAGAAGGGAATTTATCTCTTCATAATGATCGCTGAAAAACCTATTTAAGAGATAGTTTTCTCTCGATATTGCTTCTAGATCGTTTTTTGAAAAATCATTTTTATACTTATCATGCAATTATATAAAAAGTTTGTTTTTAATTACTGAGCGTTTTATCATCAAACTTGATACGCTCACAATCCAATGATTGAGCGTCTTTTGGATAGTGTTCGAAACCAATCGATTGAATCTACAGATACAAACCAATAGCATTCGACTACAGTTGATTACAGTGTTCAAAAGAATTTGAATAATAGAAACGAGTTTTTTCTTATTTTATTTATTTCTATTTTTAGATTTTTTTTTACATTGTTCTTTATGTTTAAAATAAGGTAATTGTGTGTATCTAAATTTTGAAAAAAAAAGATGAATCCTCTCGAGAAATTTCGTTTAGAATGACAATTCCACTATATCTTGGTTGGCAACACTGCCAACCATCTTTGTCCAGACATTTCAAATAAAATTCAAACATACTGTTCGTAGAAGTGAAACGTGTCGTACCCAAATTGTGATTCAAGGAATCATGATGAAGCCGAAACAATTAAAAAATAAGTACCTTGTACATTATAAGAAGCTACCATCTAACTTTGGTGCTGTAGAAAAAATTAGACTGAGCCTTGGTCAAGAACAACATGATAGACGCAAGAAACATCGAATAGATGAATTCAAGAAAAATCGAATTATTGCTTCACCTTGTTCAGTGACATCGGAAAAAGGTGCGCCGAGATATTATTATGTAATTGCTCGCTTATATACCAGCATCTGAGAAAAAATTATTCATTTGATTAAATTAACTTAACAGTATATTTATTTCTTACATTGAAGAATATATGTTCATATTATATTTAACTTAAATACATACATTTTTATCAAAAGAAATAAAGACGAATTACATTATTCAAATTAAGTCAAATGAACAATTTCTTTTTCTTATATAGTGTATATATTTCAAAAACTTGTCAATTTCAATGTATCTTATAGCGAATTTTGGACGCACTAGTGCATGTTAAAGTACAATGTTTTAATCTATTATATAAAAGTAAAAATGCAAATATAAAATTATAAAATATCAAATTATAAAAAACAGTTTTTATTATAACGACAAAATCAAATTCGCTATTAATTTCGTGTATCTCGAGAATATTTCGAGAATTTATTTACGTGCAAATATTAAGATCTTTGACATGCCGATCCGAAAATGATATACTTCTTTTATTTGTATTTATTAATCTTTTCTTTTTAGTCTGTTTCGCTTAGTATTGTATATATT